ATGATGGCAACATATGTACAAATATGCTTGATATGATTGATGTATGGCATGTTATAAGAACCCCCAATAAAATGATTAAAAATAATTTTTTTCATTATTTGCCTTAATGGTAGGTGAATAACCTTGAATAATAGTTGGATTGGTCTCTTCCAAATAGATATTATCCTATCAGAGAGAGCATTGTACTTCAAGATAGATGTTGAAATGGGTTTTTTGTTTTGTTTGTTTTTTATGGTGATGAACAAGACACCATTGAATTTGTCAACATAGGCCTAGTAAAGCATGCGACCGTTTAACTCAATGTGGCCAAGCCTATTCCTTTCAGGTCACTAAAGCCTAGGATACAGAGCCCTGGAGGAGCTGTCGAGTAAGCTGTTAGGCCACTGGAGTACTTCTCACTGCAAAGGTGACAGTTCATAGCCCCCAGTTTCTTTTTTTTTTTTTAACCCCCCAGTTTCTCCACCAGAGAAAGATGAGGTTGTCTGCTCCTGTAGATATTATAGCTTCAGAAACCCTCCATTGGGTCACTATGAGTTGGGATTGACTTGGTAACAGTGAATTAATGCCTACTATCGATCTTCATGCATTCCTTTTCCTTTATGATGATTTACACTTTTACTAGGTTCATCCATCCCGCAGTCCACAATTCAATTTTTAATGCATGTTCTCAGCTTTCCCTGCCATTTTGACTCATGCTCCAGCAGCAAATGAAGGTCCCCAAAGCTTTACTCTACCATTGAGATAGACTCTACTTTGAGGAGGTAGCTTTTCCCCCGACTTATTTTGAGTGCTTTCCAACCTAAGGGACTCGTCTTCCAACACTGTATCTGGCAATGTTCCACTCCCATTCACACGTTTTTCAGTGGCTAACCCCTCAGAAGTGGCTAATCTATTCCTTCTTCCTCGTTTGTTCTTAGTCTGGAGGCTCTGTTGAAATCTGTTGAACTTGGGTGACCCCACTGGCATTTCAAGTACTGTGGCATAGCTTCCAAGATCACCACAACATACAGGCTCCCACAGTTTGATGAACTGACAGACAAGTGGTGGGCTATGAGTATAACCCAATGAAAGTCACAAATGAATAAGCCTTAGCGATAATGTTTCTTAGTCACACTATCTGGCATTACATACTGCACTTTTATCTGTATTGCTGGCACTTTGAATATTTGTATTATGTTGCTAGTTGTCTTGGAGTTGGCCCCTACTCATAGCAACTTTACGCATTATTGAGTGAAATGAGAACACCAATTAATTGTGTCTGAAACCGCTGTGATACAAAGGGTCTTCAATGGCTGATTTTCAGATACAGACTTCCAGACCTCTCTTCTTATTGCATCTTACTCTGTAAGTTTTCCTGAAACCTGTCAGCAGAATAACAAACAAAAACATCCGGTGACAGAAGTTTTTGTGTGTGATGTGTGCTGAGTGGTTATCAAAACCTGGTTTCCTTACTGAATTTCAGAATTCTACCTCTGAATCACCTATGACCCTTATTTCTATTATAGTATTTACTTGAACTCATTAGGGAACACAATACATATTCATTTTCCTCTTCACATTTTTAGTACTGCATTAATTTGTTCCAAGTTTTATTGACTGAATAGTTGCCCAAATGAATATAATAATTCTAAGCATTTTACTATATTGCAACTACTAAGAAGATAGGAACAGATCAATTAGGTGTTTTAGTAAATAAAATAGTCTACCTTTCAGAGATGACCAGAAATTCACACTCACCTGTTTAACTTATAGAAAAGTATAAAATAAATCTAATCAGAAACTAAATAAAATATATAATACTTTATATTAGAAAGTCTAATTATATATGATTAAAATGAAGCTAAATGATGTTTATGTTGTTTAGGATCTACAGATAACATAGAAATTATGTTGGATGTTTCTGAGTTCTTTAGACCAAGGAAAGCAGACATTTAAATAACCTTTTTTCTTTCCTGTTAAGCAACAGATAAAGCAAATAATTGGGAGGCTAGTAGCTGTCTAAGGGGATTAAACAATTGCTTAGCTGAACCTAAAATGTATAACATAAAGACATTAAGATTTTGAGAAAACTTTTTGCCATAATTAACTTCCCATGATATACTTGTTCTCCCTCCCTCCCCTCCAAGTCTCTGGATGTAGTAAGACCAGAATTCATGACTGTTTGTTCATTTTAGACACACTAGAGCACTTCAAAAGAAAAGTGTGTAAATCAATGCTCAAAGATCAGGTGCCTCGTCATATTTACCTACAGACCCTGTCATTTAGCCAGAGTTTTAGAGTTAATGTTACCAGAGAGCTGAAAGAAATGCTGGGTCTAGTTTTCAACCTCATCCAATGTGGGTTTCATAACCTAATAGTAATTATTTCATAAAGCAACTTAATTATAAAGGATAGACAATAAGTTTTCTAATCATTCCTGAAATAAAATCAAAATAGAATTTTTTAAAACTACATTAAGTCTTAAAGATTCAAAGTAATTTTTCAGCTTCATCTGATATACTAGTGTGTTATGTAAATAAGTCCATGATTTATATTAATAGGGGAGCTATTTCACACTACATATGTTATGGTAGAAGAAAGCATTTATATATATGGGGCCAAATAAAAATCTGAACTGTCTCAATAAAACTTTAAATTAGAAAATATGTAACAAAGCATTAATGATACCTTGAATTAAATGTGATCTCATAACTTAATGCATAAATGCTAACTTTTAGGATGAAAAATTCATTAAACACTTTGGATGCTTAGGTCATATTTCTAAAAAAACCTTAAATATAATTCAAGTTGTGATTAATGCAGAAGCTCATATTTAAATATTCTGACACAGTTTGGCAGAATTAAAAGGCTATATTTTTAGACAAAAATTTTCATTAGACATGATCATCAGATCATAATTTTAGAGTGATTTATTTTTGTTTTATGTTAGCATCTGTTCATGTCCTAATACTGATATCCAATGGACATACCAAAAAAGAAGAATCTAATTTTTTTCTGTGATAATTTAGAAAAATAAAATACACCTATTTATTACATTAAAATCTTTTATTTCTATTATTAAGCAAGTTTTCAAAAAGCATGTGCTGTCCACAATTTCATTGTATTTAGAAGGCTTCATAGTAATTATACCATATAATTTCTCTAAGATATCCATCATCATTAACTATTATGAATAAGATATTCTTTAAAAGAAACTATGCTTTATGAAACCATTCTTGCATCTGATAATTTTTTATGTAAGTGCTAAATGTTAATGATACAGTGATGGGAAAAGAGTAAGTGTGTATACACACCCTTTAAAAAATGTTAAATCTATGAATACCATCACCCATTTTTACATTATATGACTGAGATCACTGTAAATTTGATTATGAGAGAAATAGGCTAAAATGTAACACCTTATCATTTGATGTCCCCATCTTGACTCATTTTAAATTTGTTTCAATTTTTATTATTTTTTGCTTTCTTTAGACTCAGATTTTCCTGTGTTGTTTTGCCATCGGTGTTATTTTGTTCTTTTGTTTGGTTGTTTTTTTGGTTGTTGTTTGTTTGCTTCTTGGTTTTGTTTTGTATGATTCTCTGCATATGAAATCCAGGAGAGTTAAATCTATAGAGATTGTAAGTAGATTGCTAATTACCTAGGGGCAAGTCAGGAGAGGTTGGGGGTGGGAAAAATGACAGCTAACAATGAGTATGAGAAAGAAGAAAATGTTCTGAAATTGATTGCGGTGATGATTGTACAACTATGATTCATATGATTAAACTATTCAATTGTATGATATGTGAGTTATAGGCTAGTAAATCTCTTTAGAAAATAAAAAAAAGCATCCTATAGTTACTTTTGTGGTGCTGGCAAATAATATGGATGGTACCATGGACTGCCAAAAGAACCAACAAGTCTGTCTTGGAAGAAACGCAGTTAGAATGCTCCTTAGATTCAAGGATGGCGAGACACACTTGAAACATGTGGTCAGGAGAGACACGTCCGTGGAGAAGGATATCATGCTTAGTACAGTGGAAGGGCAGAAAGAGAGAGGAAGGCTCTTGGCAAGATGGATCGACACCTTAGCTGCAACCATGGACTCAGGCCTAAGAACACTCGTGAGAATGGTGCAGACCAGGCCATGTTTGCTCTGTTGGACACGGGGCAGCTATGAACAGACGTGGTGGCACCTAAGAACAGCAATATATCCTGTGTCAACCATCTCCTTATGTACCTTCCTCTTTTGCGCTGCCCTTCAACTTTTTCAAACACGATGTTCTTAACAGCAACAGATGTACCGCATATACTTGTATATAAGCTGAGTTTTCAGCTCATTTTTAATGCGGTTTTTGTGGTAAAATTAAGTGCCTCGGCTGATATTTGGGTTGGCTTATACTCTAGTATATATGGTACTCTGAATTTATTACAGTAGATATATGTAATATATTTAACTTCCTAAGAAACATGACAAATGATTATACACTAGAGGTAAGTGTGAGTAATTTTAAAAAATCATTTTATTGGGGGCTCATACAACTCTTATCACAATCCATACTTACATCAATTGTGTAAGGCACATTTGTACATCCACTGCCCTCATCATTCTTCAAAAATTTGCTCTTCACTTAAGCCCCCGGTATCAGCTCCTCATTTGATCCCCTTCCTCCCCACACCCCCCTCCCTCATGAACCCTTGATCATTTATAAATTATTATTATTTTGTCATGTCTTACACTGTCTGGTGTCCCTTAAATGAATGTCTTTTCATAGTAATTATACCATATAATTTCTCTAAGATATCCAGTGGTAAAGGATTTTGGTAGGACAATAGGAAAGATTATGAGAGGATAATATCATGTAGAAAATGTGTAAGTTAATTTCAAAGATTTATAGGTAATTCACAACAATTATGTGTATCATAAAAATATAGAATTCATGCAAAATTAATAGAAAAATGCTAGCCACAAATATTCACAGATGATCACACACCCACAAAAAGGCACCATTAAATTTCTCACCTGTCTAATACCCAACCGGTAGGCAACAATTCGATCCACCGCATCAGGATTCATTTGTGTCCACTGTAGACTATAGGAATAAACCCGGTGTCTGTTCTGCCACACGGGGTTGTAGGTATCATAATAGAATTCTGGAGCATAGGCTTTTCCTAAAAGCAAAAAGAGTGCTTACATTTTAATGATGGCATATTATAATTTAAAAATATTTGTTGAATATTTTTACCCTTTACCATCTTCTACTGCAAGTTCCATGCATAATTCTTCTAATTGGAAAGGCAGTTAATGCACAACCCATTTGCTAATATGAGCTATTAAATCTAATTCAATTTTCAGATATCTTAAGATGAATTCTTCATTGATATGATGTACCATATGAGAGGAAGAGAGGAATAAAACATGACCCCATGGCTATTTGCCTTAAGCAACTGGAAAACTGGTATTTGTATCAAATGAGTTGGGAAGTGATGGGGTGATCAAATTTGGGGGAACACAATCCATCAGGAAGTTACTTTGGAACAATTTGAGTGGTTTTATATAGAGATATCAAGTATGCAATCATATATATTAGCCGGGGATACAACAGAACCCAAGGCTAGAGGAGAAATTTTGCTAGACATTGCGATAGAAGTCACATTTAAATATGAAATTGAAGAAATTAGCAAAAGACTGCAACAAATAAAGAAGAGGACTGAGGTCTGACCACTCAGGCAATCCAAAATTAAGAGATGTGAGCGAAGGTGTCACCCCACTGAAGTCTGTGATGAAGTTAATAGGAGGAACATTTTAAAAAGTGGCAACCTAGAATCCAAAATAAGTCTATAAAAAAAATTGGTGATCAACTCTTTAAAAAAAACACAACAAAGTGAATATTCATGTTTATATTATTCTCAACTTAAAGACTACTTGAAAACTTTAATCAATGAAAAGGGTACTTTTGATTGTATTTTTAGGACACAAGAAATGTATCTTAAATATATGAACCATTTGGTTTTTTTTAAACTGCTAAGTCAAAAACATACAGATCATTGGAATTATACTTCCACCTTATTGTTATTCTTAGTATAACTTTCATACTACCCACAAGACATTTATTTCTTAATTCACAAATATGTAATGAAAGTCTCTTAAATATCAGTGTTCTGAACAATGGTAATTTAATGAGAAGGTATGAGTTCATGATCTGATGTCCTCAAATAAAATTGCATACGTTTTCTTAGACCTTTCAAATAGCTTTGCAATTCTTACTGAAAGATAAGTTGAAATGTTGAATATTTATCATCTCAAATTCAACATATTTTCAATTTTTTTCTTCTAGTTTGAAAATTAGACTAAATATTCAAAGTCTTCCTCTGTTTTTCCTTGTAGGCAGAAACTTCTCCTAGCTAGTTCTGAATATGTCTTCATCATCAGTCACCTATCCTCCAGATTTTGTAAAAGAACTGCTTCAAAACAATTAGAAATGTACAAGCACAATATTATAGGATGAATTTCAAACACTAAAAATGGAAGCAATTGTGGTCGAGAGGCTCACAAGGAAAATAAAGTTAGATGAACCATTTTCCCCTTAGTATTTTCATTGAGGTGAATATAATCAACTCCTTTAAAACGTATTGCTCAGCTCACAGGTGTGCAAGTCCCTGTTGCAGGTATTTCATGTATGTGGAATCCCATGATGCTGTGTTTGGCTTCTTTCACTAACAATGTTCTCCAGACTTCCATAATGTAGCACACAGCAGTGCTTCATTATTTTTATAGCTGAATAATATTTTTGAATTTAATTTTTGACAATTTTACTAGTGAAATTACACACAGTGAAATGAATATCTGAATTTGTCAAAGTGTCCTATATCATTATTTTGTAACATTTATGGAAAGTTCTATTATACTGAATTTGTGTGAATCAAAAAATAAAAAGGATTCTACATAGAAAAGAGGTTTCTAGAAAAGAGGCACCACATTCATTATCTTTTTTAAAAAAATAGTATGGGATTTTCATTCATTGTGAATAATACACAATCTAATATTCACAATACTAAAGGACAACATTCAACTGAGAGGAAATGATATACAGAATTAATAACTCAATAACCAAAAGATTCTTTCCAAGTTATACACAAGACTAAATTCCCAAAATGTAATTGGGAAGAGGAACTGCATAGCTGAGATGAAGAAATAGAGTTTTGTTATAAATAAACTTCCAAAATCTATGAAGAAAGCCACGTGCCACTGGCGAAGCACACGTCTGGAGTGCTCTAATGTCAGATCAGTATCTAGAGTGAGTTGCACAGGTGCGTCGAGTGCTGTCACGGTTTGTTTTTGTTTCACCCTGCCTAGAAATTCAAGGGATATGAGATTCCATTCTGAGAAGTAATTTTTGCAGAAAATGAAAGATTAGAAGGTGTGTTCGAAGGGACACAGGAGAGAAAAGTCACAACCAGTGGCTATTTCCGCTGAAAAAGAAAAGCAGTATCTTTCAAAAGCGTGGCAAATAGTTTTTTAACAGAGACGGAAAATTAGGCCAAATGTTAACAGATCTATGAATTAATTCAAATACTTCTGAACGTCTACTAAAATGTTATGCATTTCAATTTCCATGTATTCTCTGAGGATATTATGTGGCTTGCTTGTAAGAGACCATGGCCTTTCCTTCGCTGAGACAGTTACTCAACATCCGAATGGCCATCTACCGTGCTTGACACGGCTGTGGCCCCCAAGACAGACGCCTATCATGGAGTCTTTCAGGGGTAAATGTGTTGAATCTGGCCTACGCTCAAATTGGATTTTATACCTTAACAAATATTGTACTATAGCTAGAGAAAGTTGCACATCTAAATTATTTCTTGACCTTTAAACATTATTCCCCTTGACATACTTCTGTAAAGAATAATGATTTTCCAAATTTAGTAATGCATTAATATCAAGTCATAACCCCTAAGGCAAGGTGCAAGAATGCAGATTTTTTATAAGTATACCATTCTGGTGCAAAGAAGTGAACACCATACATCATGACGCTAATTTTTCTCCCCTGAACTTGCTTCCATAGTGTACAATGCCCCCAAGAGTCTAGCGTCTCAAGAACAAGGACGCACAGGGAAGGAGGATAACTGATGTGACAATGGGGAGGGTGCAATCAACGGAATGAAACAAATGTGTACCAATTGTGGAATGGCATCATCAGCTAATTCACAATAAAATATATATTTAAAAATAATTCTGTATCAGGTATGTTTTTATTTTTCCTCCTAGAAATCGTTTCTCCTCTGAAACTGGTAGCAGCCTTCCTGATGCAATCACCGGGATCCCTGGAGCAAAGCTGAGGGCGATGGGGGATCTGTGTCCAGGGCAATGGGGAATCTGTGTCCAGGGAGATTGGGGGGATCTGTGTCCAGGGAGATGGGGGATCTGTGTCCAGGGAGATGGGGGATCTGTGTCCAGGGAGGAATGAG